CCAACAACTTCGTGAGTCATACACGACTTCCAGTGCGCACACACGAAATAATTCAACCAGGCCTTGGTCTTGGTGTGTCCCTGTTCGAGATCACACACACCGAGACCATCAATACATTCATGAAATCATGCACAGGTATAGAGACATGAGACACATTGACGTGGGGTTTGAGGGGCGGGTACGTGAACGCCAGAAGTGGTCCGGCTTTCGTCGGCGACACCCGCGCTTCTTACTTCTTCGGCTTGTCCTCCAGGGGTCCCCTCATCCATAGTTCTTGGTGTTTCCTCAATGGCACCCGCCACGGCTTCGGCGGGAGTTGGGAATCGACAGAGCGCGGTCACCGTGTCTGATGGCGGAAATCCCGTGGACTTCTCCGCCGTGTCTTCATCGAATTCCTCCAGCCAAAATCACCACCACCCCCATCTCGGTCAGGAGTTGCGTGCTCAGACGTGCTACAACTCGTTGCCTGCGAAGAAGGAAAAAGCCCACACGAGCGCCAACGGCGGAACACCAGAGGCCGTGGTAATTGAAAAATTAATTTTAACCAGAGTGTGATTCATGCATTGTTGTCATTTGGTTGTTTCGTTCGCATTCAATGCAACTACATTATTGTAGATGTCGATCAAGGCATTTTAAGTAAACTAAAACATATTTTAGAGAGCCTGATACAAGTGGTTGTGGCAGTGGCTAAAACAAGGAGTGTTCCAACTCCCAAACGGATAACAATCTAAATTTACAAAGCATGAGGTAAATGGCGTGTCCACGAAAACATTTTGGTCCAAGCGTGTTGATGTTTGCATGTCGAAGCATGGTAGGTAGAGGCCAGTGCCCCGAAGTCTACCAAACTGACAGACTGATTTATTCTGATGAAAATGTTTTGTGCGATTAATTTTGCTCTAGAGACTCCACGCTTCCCTGTTAGGGCTGAGTTGAGAACGGATTTGGTCAAATACATTTCCTTTCTCGTGTTTACACATCGGGCTTGTTGATTGGTCCAAGTTCCTGCAGCCAATCGAAAGCTGTAGCGCCGTGTAGGCTTGATGCCTCATCGATTTTGTGTGCTGTCGATTAGTAACCGTAGCCGACTTGTGCCTTGATATACCTGAAATCGTACTTTGACACTGTGGATTTCGTGAAAGTTTATGGCTGACTAATTAATACAACTAGGAATTACACTGTTGAAGTTGCTGCCGATCCTAGAATACGGTTTTTTCAACGTACCCGGGTAAATTCTTACACAATTTTAGTCACCTAAATGATTTCGTCAACGTTTTTTATACAATGAAACTCTGCTAAGCAAAACGTCGCCAATATATGTGAACTCGTAATTTTGCCAATTTAAATTAAAGCTTTGTGGTAAAAGTAATCGTGATTCACGATTTTTTATCGATCGGAGCATCTGAGTTGTGAATCCACGTTAACGCAATTACCAGTGGAAAATTTGAACGGAACAAGGTCATTCGAACTCCATCGGGAACATAGTGCTAAATGTACTGTCTGAAAACAAACCAATGAATTTCCAGCGTCACAAAAAACCAGGAATTCGTTGTGCAGAGTGCTATGTGGTCAAAAGGTTGCCCTAATTTCGCAAAAATCGCGTTTTAGCAACAGCTGAAGTGTAACCTTTTTTGGCACTGTAAATGCGTAGTGCAGTCCTATTATAAAATTACTAAAAAATGCGTGAGTGAACATGTTCCTCGTAATTTTGAGTGTCATAATCGCGGAAACATTTTCTGTTGAGGCAGACTTTGGGAATGTAACGTGAGACAGAGAGAAAGGGGAGGTAGCTTAGAGACAAGACATGTTTTATCGCTGCGCCCTTGTTTTCCTTCGTAAACAGAAACGTCTTGTAAACAGCGCCTGGTTAAACCTAGACACCGAAACCATATACATCAGAACATACGAGTTCAATTGAAGGCGGGGTTACAGTTAAGGATCAAAAGAATGAAGAAAGGCATCGAGATGGCAAATTTTATTTCAGAACTGCTTTTAAGCACGTAGAAATGTTAGAAATGTTGTTATCTTATCTTTAATTTTCCACCACGTGAAGGTTCGATTCTCTCCCTTCTAACCTCGAAATTCAGTTCACGTTATTGACAATTACGATGTCTCATAGGTCCTGACTAGACATTTACCTTAAATTGCGTTTTATGTCTATTGAAGAAGGCCATCAGCACGGAGGAGCTGTCCCAGGAGATGGCGAACCTAGATGGCCTCATGAAGGATCTTTCCATGATCACACAAAACGAGTTTGGATGCCTACAGCCCTGACGGTTTGTCCTGCCGCGCCTCGTCTCTGCAGGCGTCCACCTCTCATGCACCAAAACTCATATTTCTTCTGCTTACTCGCCTTTAACCACCTGTTATTTACTTGTATTTTGTACATATTTGTCTCCAAACCATAAGCTAGAAGTACCGATGGTGTTTGACGTGCATATAAAGTCTCCAGTATCGAACTATTCCTTAATCTTGTCTCACACGCCTTCCAATTTGGATGGTGTTTCCAGTGGTTCTCGTTGGGCAGAAACAGGTGTTGTCTCAGTTGCTTATGATAATTAAGTACTACATTGGTCCACTGTTGAGGTTCAATTTATTCACGCAAAAAGCCTTCAAAACTTCGATGAATATGTTCTTTGCCACCATCAAAATACCTCGGTATCTTTTCTCCACCAAGTTTAAAAAAAGTTTCATCTTGAAATACATAAAACAAATCGGCGCAGATGAGTTCTCACAACGTCTGACAACCCATAATTATTATGAGCTGCATGAGGTGTTTGTCTGTTCCTGGGGTCAACGTGATTGTTTTTGATAATGTGTGCTTTATCTGCCTGCCTAACAACAGTTTCAGGGACGCTAATTTCATTGGAAGTATAGTGCATTGCATCGGCGTGCGGAAACGTCCGCTCACACACCTCTGTCCACGTACTACTCCCTTGGCTGTTTCGCTCATCTGGTCAGTCAGCTACTTGTGCTTTTTCACGTTCACCCGGGCTATATTGATCCACAACCACATTAGTCATGCGCTATCTCTAAATACAGGAACGCGACAACTGCACAACTAGGTTGAGCTATCTGGCAAACGATTGTCTTCGCCATTGCGGTCTTCTTCGCCTTCCGCGGTATCTGTGTGGGGCCATCGGGCCAGCACAACGCAACAGTTTGGGTGTGATTCGAGTCAACAAATCAATTTAGGTGTGGTAAAGACGCTATCGAGAACATCCAACTGGCTACACAACTATTGGGATCGTTGTAATCAAGACGATTAGCAGCATTGCAACCGACAACAACAACGACAATAACGACTTACCTCCATTGCAACTTTGAAATAATTTTTACGGACACCTGAGTTGATGAGGAACTTTTTCGATTTCTTTGTGCAAATAATACATTCTACTCCATAAAGGTATTAATTGTGTGCAATCAGCATGATAATTTCTCATCCAACATTCAGGAAAAACACTCCAAGACCACACGTGTCTGTCGACTTCAGACAGCATGCTTCAAACTGAAAGTGACTGCTCACTGACTCACATGATACTCGTTTTCTGGCCAATACATTGCACCAATCCCTGTGGTGTTTAAGACCACATGAAAAGTATGCAACGGCCCATTCTGCCTCATGAGTCCTTAAGTGGGCCTTTGCGCTGTTCGCACAGTGAGTGGTAGTTCCCTGGTACAATAAGGAATCCGTCTCACGATTCCGCAGTTCAATTTGCTCAACCTTGCATTGAAAATTGATGATATTCGAGGTCTTGATTGAGAATTGTTCCACGTGAGGTGGTTATTGTGGTGTTTTTGAAAAAAATGAGCCCTAATCCACGTCCGTTTTACTGTAGGGGAGGGGTTCTGTATTGATCTTCAGGTTTTAATCGAGATTCTGGTGATCCCGATCCCGGTTCCTTGTCATACGTGTTAATTTTTTCATACCGAATTCAACTCCCCTTAAGGGGCATTCTACCGCTTAACAGATCTCATTTGGTGGATCATTTTATGACCGACCAAATTCTCGAGCCATTTAACTTTTACCACTTCAGTGAGATGGTTAGCGAGGCTTTTAAAATGCTTGAAGTCCCAATGTACTGGCTACCGGGGTTTGAGAGGGATTATTTCCGCCAGCGCTCGGTAAAAATCGTCCCCAGGTGGTGGGTGGTTAGTCATTAATTTACTTTTGTATCGAACGAACTTTTGAAACACCGCGACGCGACCGTTTTATGCAAATCTCGTCGCCAAATGTGGAGCTACTACTGCGACTAATGCGGATCGGGCAATAGTCGACGCTTACAGCAAATGCTGGCGTTAAACATTAAAAAAACCGTTGTCAACTTTTAGGAGCAGCACGAAATTCTTAAAACAGAACCGAAAGGAGTTGTGATAAGTCTGAATATAGCAGTTTTTCCAACCGACAGAAGACTGGCATTTCATTCTGAATTGTGAGAAAAAAATTCGATTTTTTTAAAATTGAATGTTTTATGTTAGGATACCTTTCAAATGCACTTTATGGTTGTTGTTGATGCAAATTCAAAGATCTTGATTTTGAGAATGAACAGGGCTATTTGCTAAACGAGTATTTATGGTGGCGTGATATCAGAACTTTGGAGTCATCAGATTTACAATCATTTCAAAGTGCCGAGTGCCAGTATACTGTTCTGGGTTACGCAGGTAATCCACCTCGAGCTGTGGGTGAGTGTTTGTAGCCGGTGTCTAAACTTTGTGGAAAATATCATGTACCGGAATTCATGGTGATCGTGACACGTCCTACACACACACACACATTCAGGGCAATAATGTCTGCCTGCCTTCAAAAAACATCGATAATGAAAAATATTACTTTTTTTCACGTCGAGTGTCTGCTTATAAAAAAATATTCACTATATTAGCAATATACTACAGCTTAATGGAAGTCATTTGAAAAGAAAGGTTGATGAAATCCAAAGCAATAAGTCTTCATTTTACATTTTATAAGTAATTTTTTTAAAGCAGTCCTTGAACTATATACATAACATTTAGTTTCCCAAAATCGAATTTGTACCTCTTTAAAAATTTAGCGTAGAATTTGACATCGAAGTTATTATACCATAAAATTGATCAATTATAGGAACCTCTTTAGAAAATGTCGATTGCAAAAATATCTTTTAATATCGAAGTTTCCTTTTCAGACATGGTTGGCTTGTCATGACCCGAACAAATAAGTTCTTTTTAACGAGGTAGGCAAAGTTGTGTGCAAATGTCTAGAATTCCAGAAACCTTGAGCTATCAGGTGCATTCAAAACACTTCTTCGGCAGACCAACGAGAAACAGGAAATAAATATGGAAAATATACGCTTGATTTGGCGTGCATCAGTGTTTTTTCAAGTATGTCCATTTTTCTCGCGCTACAAGAACCCTAATTTCACAGGTGAAACCCATTGACCTTTTTCGCTTTACTGGCTCCAATGCATTTAGATGTCGTATGATCTTATCGTATTCGATATGTATTGTCAGCGCAGATGCCACATAATAGGAAATCGTTTTGCCTGTCTGCTTAAAAGTAGCGTTTATGTCTTGGAGATCAAAGAACGCACTTATACACAAGTTTCTCCACAATCGAAAATATAGTAAAACGCTTTCAATATCAATCAAAATAAGTTTTAAGCCCACAAAAAGTATAGATTGTGACTTATCACCAATAAAAGAGAACTTTGACACTTATTAAGCAGAAGGACTTTGCTATAAGACGATTTTGAGCTTACTTCAGCTCTTTTCAGCTCTTGAATCGTGAAAGCACCATACCAGGTCGACCTGTTATAAAGATACTGAATTTAACCAAGATAGAATTTGCAGGACCCACTGCTTGAATTTCTTAAAAGCCACTTCAAAAGTAACCATACAGTTCACTGAGACACACAAATACACATAAACAAATAAAATCCACAACAACCGTTTGGTAGATCTATGATCGGTACAGCATTCAACACCTGTAGAAGTTATAATGCATTTCTGGAGACCCATTTTTTTCGAGTCATTGTAACAAGTTTCAGCGTTTGATTCACAAAAGGGTCCTTAAAGTTAATTTATCACAGGCAGTTTTCTTATTTCGCTGCTTTGATCCATCGTTTATTTTATGTACTCTCAATGAATGTTTCGAAGTACTGGGAGTATTCCAACAGTTTCAATTGTTGGGTAAATAGGAGAATTACTTGCTGGTCAATCATTGATAATCAACTTTCGTACATCAAGAGATCTCATACAGCAAAAAGGCACTATTTTAGAAAACCAAGCCTTAGGACACCAATTTATTTAATACCCAGATGCAATAGTTTGATATTGAAAGGGGTATGTTGTTATGCTGATACAATCAAAGGTAAAGCCAAGTCACAATTAGCCCAATTATTCTCAATTGCTATTTAAGCTTGTCAAATCCTCGATCCCTTGAATGAAGGAGACAGGGGCAACAGAGAAGTCTATACTGAATAACCACAGGCCATCAATGTCCACCAGATACCGTCCATGGGAGCCCGCCAAACTGGTTGCACTGCTCCATTAGCTGTTGTCTACTAAAGGCACGCAAATGATTGGTTGAGGTTGGCGTGATGTAATATGTCTGCACCCTAAACAAATTGGCACATCATTCCTCAGCCCTTCCCTCAACAATGACGTTGTATCTCTACATATCTACAGTTAGTGGGAACAACGATGTATTGGCTTCCAATTTTGTAATAACAGAATTTTTAGATTCGTGTGAAACAGATGCGAATGCAGAATATACTCGAGTCGAAAAATGTCAAGTTCACACCTGTAGATATTGCTGCGGACGATGAAGCCAAAAATAAAATGATTGCAGCTTTGAAGGCAGCCAACAAGGCCCCTCCTTATCTTGCTCCACAGCTTTTCTACGGAGATGAGTATATTGGGGTACCTTTTGCTTTTGTTTGCGCTTTATTAGTATTGATTCTGAAACGTATATTGTTATGCTGCTAAATTGTTTCGTTGTTTTCAGTGCTTTTACAAAGGGTGCTTAACTTGGATATCGTGGTGTTTTAGGGAATGAATATTATTTTCTGGTCTTCGTACTTGCTTTCAGGGTTACGATGAATTTGATGAGGCTAATGAAAATCTTTGTCTCGACTCGTTCCTTCGTCTCTGAATTCGCCTATGTTATGCTATGTCTTGGGCAGACACAATTATTGCCGTCTTCTTTACACTGCTCAACGAGCTGCCATTGTAACATTCCGATCTTGCTTTTTCCGTGCCTTTTGTTTTCGTTACTTCGCTGTTGATTTTTGTTATATTGATTCCCCACTCCGCCTTTGATTAGTGAGCAAGTTTTCAAAATCATTCCATATTCGCATCATTCCGTTTTTTTACTGGACGCCGAATCGATTCATTTAATAAAATGTTGACGTGCTGCGCTGTCTTTATTTCAATTTTTTATACACATTGGTGTCCACGTTCAGGATTGCTAAAGTTCAGAGTTTGTTAGAATGTCGTTCCCCTGTTGCCTCTTGCCTATTTTCTGTTGTATTTTTACCTAAAAACGGGCTACTTTGAGCACTGCATCCAATATCGCCGCCAGACACGAACACGTCGTACCCATGTGTACATGCCAATTTTACGATGTCATTCTTGGAGGACAAATGGAAACCTGACGGGTTTTCTATGACGGTTTGAGGTCAGCTGTCGTATTGCACTGGGCTTTGATGGGTAATGCAATGTGTTCGTTTTGTGTGGTAATTTCTCACCAACCACGGCCTCTGATTTAACACTTGGACTTAGCTCTTAGTGAAATGGCATTGTTCACATCGGTAGCCCTCGAAATAAGTAATTAAAATGCCTTCCTTATCCTGGTCTAGCTGTTGGTATGCTCTTTGTGAGGAAGAATACCTTTGGAGATCTCATTTTAAGTCCATCAGATTTCACCTACTGGCCAAAGTCAGACAGGTGAGCCGTCAACTTTGTAAATTAGCACGGACTGTAACCCGGGGTTGGTAAAACCGAACAACGTTGTTGGAGGTCACAAAAAGAACAACTTTTTTGTTGCGTGTTTTTTTCGCAGTTTAGAATATCACTGCAGTACCTGCTCGTGTCGTACCAGCGGCACGCGGTTTCCACGGTTGTTTTTATAATCAGGCAACTTCACACAAACCTTCGTGAATGTCACGAGTACCCAATGTTTTAAAACGCTCCAACCAAATAACACTTGTAATGTCATGTTTTAAAAAAATGTATGCACAGTGTGTGGGCTGTCAATTAGCAGGGTTAAGGAAAACCAGAATTGCGTGACGATGACAGCACGATGTTTTACTATTGGGCATTGGTTAGTTTACAGACGAAGGATATTGTCGAAATTTACAATTCCTCGAGAAACAACTGTCGTGAATCGTGTTTATTCGACCCCTTAATCCGTTCGCTCCACCTCCTACACAGGGTCCCCCTTTTCACAGCATCTTACCAGCCGCGCGAATCCTCTACTCCTCCTTCATTAGCACGAATATTTATCTTGAAGTATCCCCACACATGGGTCTCGATGTTAGCGCATCTATGACTCACACATCCGAGGCATAAATATACAAGCGCAAACCCCATACACGACACAACGATACCAACGTGGCTGAGCTCTGAAGTAGCCGGTTGAGTCCACGTCCTCTGTGGTCTTTTTCTTCGTCGCGGGTATCAGGGAAACGCAATCGGGCTAGGGTTAATTCCGTGACTCCGTGCAGGTCTTATTGGTGATAACTTGACCTCATGAAGTCTGCGTGGAAGATACTCAGGACAATGTGACCAAACTTACATCCTAGACAAGTAAAAAAACGTTTTAGCGGCACTTGTAATGACTTGCAGTGGAACCAGTTGACTGCAGAGAATACGCTGCAGCGTCAATCTACTGTGTTGTAGGTGTACCTTAATGCCAACAGTCACCACGCGCGCTGACTCATCGGCACTTTTCACAGGCTTACATTAAGCGATTTACACTCACTCATTTACATTCACAAGCCTGTCTTGAGGTAGGTGGTGGTGGTGGTGGTGTTGCCTTCAGCAATAAAACTCCACCACTAGCACGGCTTTTCGCAATTTATCGGTTTTTTATTTAATATCGCGCAGATTCCAGGAAAGTGACTCATCAGTAGTCGGAAGTGATTTGAGGTGTGCTCGTTAAATCTGGAGTGGTTGGTTTTCAACTTTACTTCCTCGAGTTACGAAGACATCAGACACGGTCGGGTTGAGGTGTATCCGCTTTTAGGCTCTTCTTCAACCATCCCTCGTGCCTGTTCTGGACAACTTTAATTTCAGTCGTACTATACTACCCCAATTCAACAGCTCATTAACACCGAATTTGTAAAACGAGGCCTTTAGAACTTCCAATTCGGCCATCGTATATGCCTGGGTAACTTCTCACGAACTGTGGACAAGTTCCCGTGGAGTCTCATATAGAAGTGTGTATGTAAATCTCATTGAGAGACCCTAAGATTGGGTTCGAACCCGTATCCTACGCAGTCATTTTGCGCGAAGATGAGGACGTGCAAGTGACTATGTCACAAAATCTAGTTGGTACTTAAAACTACACTCTTGTAAGCCGATGTGTGTGTGTGATTTTACATGGCCACAATGCCGACAAGCACAAAATGAGCGAGAAGCCAAAGTCCAAATGTTCCATTAAGAGTGTGTTGTGAATCGTGTTCAGTCAACCCCTTAATTCGATCCCTCCGCCCCCTACACAGGGTTCTCTTTTTTCGCAGCATGTCGCCGGCCGCGCGGATCCTCGACCTTCCTCCCCTCATTCGCACAAACATTTATCCTGGATTATCCTCACACCTAGGTTTCGATGTTAGCGCATCTACGACCCACACATCCGAGCTATAAATACACACGCACAAACCCGACACATCGACACCAGTTTTGGTTGAGCTCGGAAGTAAAGGATTGTGTCCGCGTCCTCTCCGGTCTTTACCTTCATCGCAGGTAGCAGGGAAGCGTAATCGGGCCGGAGCTAATTCCGTGGCCGCGGTGTGGTTCAAGACCACATGCTGGGGCCCACAACAAGTGGTTTGGTCAGAAACAACTAGAGACGCCACCGAGACGGCATCCTGATATGTCATTTCAGTAGATTTCCATCCCGGATTAAGTGATTTCGGCCGAGAATTCGGCTGATTAGTGTGCTGAAAGACATTAGAGATAGTGATTAATCTCTGAATTTGCTCGGCCAACGAAGACAACCGTCTCCGGTAGTTAGTTTTGTGCTTTCTGTCTGCAATACTACAGCATTTCTCTTTTTATTGTCGACTCATGGATCAAGCAAATCTAGTGATTTAAGGTATATGCAAAAAGCGACCTGCCAACGCAAATGTCGTGATAATAGAATAGTTGGTATACAGGGCCAAAATGTTCGGTCATTATGACGTAGCCTCTAAAACCATCTAGTGCACAATATTTGGTTGACCACCTGTTCCTGTCCTAGTGAATGAAGGTGTCCAACACCGCATGATAATGCGAATGATTCAGCGGAGATGATTTGTGGTGGTGAGCAGCTTCGTCGCAATCCCATTGGTCGCTGACACCCGGAAAATTCGACATGAAACAAAGTAGTGAGAAGAACCGCGTTTTTTAACCCTTCAGACACAGCAGTGTCATTTAGAGTGTGCGACTGAGTTTTTTGTAGTCAACGCATGAAGAACCACGGATGTGCAGTTATTTAATTGCCAGGATTTTACGCACACCCAGCATCGATAATTAGCGTCAGTTGTCTGCCTAGCTTCTCCCTCACCAAACCATGAGGAGGCATGAGGCGTGACTAGACTACTTATTATTCTTGCGGTCTTTGTCATGATGTTTGTACAGAAATTATGCGGAGATAGCCATATAGCCTTTTCGTCCCTAAGCTTGATTTAATCATAACATCTTTACTACCCCACGATGCGACCACAGTGGTTTGAACATTCGATCGGGCATTCCAGATAAGATCTTTACAATATTGGCTACTTAAACATAATAAGTAACGTCTTTTTAAGCAAAAAGCATTTTGCACATTAACTGCCGTGCCTGCGTTCAAATTGTATTCAAGGCCTGACGATTTGGATTCAAGCAAAGCAGAAGCTAGCGATGTCTAAAATAGTCATTTTTACGGCGTTTGTTTAAATCTCCGAACACTCATAGTATATAGTCCTGGCCCCAATTTAGGTTAAGGATTCTATTGAATTGGACCGCCAATTTACAAAACGCGTGAAATCCACACAAGCATATTCAATCATAATCTTATTAAGGAGCAAAGGAAGTGGGATATCTGTTAATTAAGGCATGCACATATCAAACAGATAAGACAACCTTAAAGAAACCGGTGGATCGATGATAGTGTTGACAAATTCCGCCTAAAATAGTCAAAATGTTAACGGAAACATTGAGCTCTATGGTCATCTTCGTTGTCTGGCAGCCTGCACGATTATCAGTCCTTGTAAATGAAATTCTTACTTAACCGTTCAAGCCGTTAGATAACTAGTCATTTATGAGCTCAATAACCCGGTCGTCGCAGACTCACACACCTCCCTCTTTCTCGAATTCCTAAACAAGCAGGCAGGATTATTCGCTAGGCGTCATTTAAAGCCTTCAAGGCATTAATCATCTTTGGATGGAGAAAAGGCTAAATTGGATTTTGCGTCAAAATGCTAGATCCCATCACGAAGAGGAAGAGAACAAAAGGCTCATGCCAATTTTAAACAAAACGTCCTACTAACTATTTATAAGTAGCAAGTATACACCCTGCAGCCCTGCGGATTCGAGACTGTGGTACCCAATAAGACTGGCGAGCCAACTTGATTTGATCGTTGTAGTTAACGGTACGACGATAATCCGTCCGTTTTGTGCAGATTATGAGCAGGTGTGAAGGCAATATTAGTCAATAACACATTACTAATGGGAAGGTGTAGCAAATGCTCGCAGTGAATCGTGTTGATTCACGTCCAATAACGCGGTCGTCGTATCCTCACTCACTTGCCTCCCCCCTTTTCACGGCGTGCCCGTCGGTCACGCGGGGTCGGCTGCTCATTCACCCCTTTGTATGTACCACCACCACCCGCTCTATCCATGTGACCAATCAGACGTCTGTATTTTTACTAGCCCACTCGACCGTACCAGGCAACACAACACAGCTACGTTGAGTTGTCGGGTAAACTGTTGTGCCTCGTCCTCTCTTGTCTTCATCTAAGCTAAACGTCTCATCTCCTCGAGTACAATATTAACTAAACAGTCGACCAGCAATAGCGTAACGCGAAAACCAGGTGTGATTTTGAAATGTTCAAACACTCCACTCACGCGCGTTGTTAAAAACAACCAATCCCGTCCACGAACTAAAGTTGTTCGTCCTTCATTGGTTGATGTCCAACCAACCTAATCAAATCGATCCAAGCGTAAAAGTCCGCCTGCACCATGAGAACAGTTAACACAAATTTGGATTGGCCTATTTCCTACTAGTCAGTCGTGCGCGCTTATCCTATTGGCTGATCTCTCAGCATGCCACTTTTGTGTTTAGTGATGCTCTGGTGTGCAAAACGCCATTATGTGAAATGTATAACATTAGAATGCCCGGTATATTAGCTCCGTAGTTAACAATTCGCCGTGGGCAAAACAGCAATTTCAATGCTTGAGCGGCTACAAGCTCATCCTCACTGTCACGTGACACAAGAACGTTGATGACTTGAAAAAAAAAGATACCAGTGCCTTCAAAATTCATGGCTTGAAGTGCGCAGAATAAGGTGGTAGGAGAACCAGCCATTTCGACAGGGAAGATTAGCGCGACCGTAGGTGACGCATTGCCTTAAAATGGGTGGGTTGAAACTTGTCAAAGGAGGCTCAGAGACTATAATTCTGCCGCAAGTATCGTCTACACAACTGTCTGTTCGATTTTTTCGCGAGTAGTACGGTTACGACAACCTCGTCATTTCGTCCTGCAGTGGTGCTCCACTGGTATCAACGACCAACCTGCTTGAAATTATGCCTTGCTTACTGATGCATAGTCTTGGAACCGTCATCGTTGACAATGACGCGGCCAACTCTCATAGTCACTGAACAACCGAGTATTAAGGTAATTAACCGACCGCCAGAAGATTCCGGTCAATTTGGGACAATCGGATTTTCTTTATACGTTCGAAACCTGAGTGATTCTCATCCCAGCAACTTCGTTCTGCAAATCGTGGTGTTGACGGCATTATATTTTCAAGGTTACATAAAAGAACTTACTAGAAATTTACTTCAAGTGTCAAATGAATAGAACAAAAGGGATGTGAATGAAACCGGCAAACCCAATAGCGGATCTACGCGTTGGAATCGAAGAACAGCAAAAACGATTCGTCAGGGCAGATTTTAGTAATTAGCATCGCAGGCAGTGAATATCGCGACAACACGTCGAGTAGGCAGCGAATTTTAAACGGTAAATGCATGCAAAAAACGAAGTCGTTTACCCCTATTGGGGACTTTGAATAGTGCTCCAACAAAGCAGTACAGTAAAACAAAGGCTTTTTTTACTCACATAACTTGACAAATGTTACACGGGTGTTAACAGAGTTTGAGAAACCTATGTGCATATAAGCACTAGCGATTAAATCCTGACTTTTCATTGAAGTATCTCAGATCTCTGATCTTAGAGGTGACCCCTTGCAAAGGTTGGGAATAAAACTATCCACCAGGAAGAAGGTTACACCGCCTTAACGGTTTCGGGGCCACATCTTCGAAACCATTGACACTTAGCACACAAAGTTATCTTTAGTAAAGCGGCATGAACCAAGCAGAGACCGATAGTCATTCAAAAACATGGCTGCGCCTAGAATTTACAAGGCACCTTTATGGGGCATCAACCATCGCAATGTAATTTGTGCACTTTTACGATGTCTTGTCACCTTCAAATTCACATGCCCTTGATATCGCAAAACAAATTTAATCGCAGGTTCAGCCGACGAGCCCCTCCTACGCTTTTATGCTTTGTGGGATCGAGTTTCGCTCCCTGACACCTCTTTACAATATCTTGCAGGCAACTAAATTAGCACTACCGCAAAACCCTATTGATAGCAGCCGGTCACAACCCGAGAAGAGAACGTACAAAAAGTCGAAAAAGAACGCAACCGTTTATTCTCTTCACGCCAGTCAAGCCAAGTCAAGTCCAGTAAAATCGGGCAACTAATTTCTGTGTGCGTTACAGCCGATTGCTAAGAAAAAATCAATAACAAAGAGGGTGAGTCATTGGTACAGTCGGGCAAGCACACACGCAGCACTCACGTGCGCAGTAGCTGTCTGTCCACGACAGTGCATTCACGGAAGAAAATCGATTGATTTGTGTTCACTCGCTCTTGCAAACTGCCTTCGCTCACGAATGCTAACTGTGCTGGCTTGCTGGTCGCTGCAATCTTAATGGGTTTCCGAGTTCTCACAGGCATAGCAATTAATTTGCGCCCATTCCAAATTTCCTATTACCCGTCATCACTATTGACATGAGCTTTAGGCCAGATGGTTAGTGTCACATCGCTGTTTTCATGTGCTGTCAAAAATGATGTATACCAGAGGGTTTCTCGTCATTGCTTTTAACCGATTCACAAACTGCCAGGTGGGAGGCTTTGGACAGCTCAATGCAAAACGTTAGCAGGGAGGTTAGAGTTGTGGAAATTTTTGAGCTCCGCGTGCTTCAATTGGTGTACTTAATGGACGTGAGTGGGACGTGGGAATTACCTATGCTGCTCACGTGACGCAATCAGCTTAATCCCGGCAATGTAAGTGCTTGCCGTTGATTGAAAGAGCTCTTTTTTCCAGGCAGAACTGTTGACGTCACGTTGGGCGTTCTCCAGACAGCTCAGCCTGTTGTTCAACTGCACTCATTGACGTTCAGCTTCAGCTGCTCAAAGCGCCGGAAAGTCGTAAATCGAAAAGGCAGACGAGTAGAATGTGTTGCCCTGGAGGCAATATGGAACAAACAATGAAGATAATTATAAAAGACCTGTTGATCGATTCCTAGTTCCATGATGATTCATCGAGAAGGACATTGTGCGGATTTTGGGCATGCGAGAGTGATATCTTGTGCAAACCACGTCCGCGTGGCTGGAAGGTAGGGTTGAGTCACAAACACCCAGCCAGACCGTTTGCCTGCAACTCACTTCTACTTTTTATTGGCGTCAATAGTCACACCCACGCACGCGTGCGCAAGGCACTGTCATGCCAAGGTCATGCTCACCGCCTCGTGCCACCATTCGCATCACCGTCTTTGCTTTTGGATTCTGTGAGTGGCCACGGCTGAATAGGGCTACATCGTGGCTAACCTTTGCTGCACGCTGCACCAATCGCAGGCGAACACTGTGATATTATTTTTTTTCCAACGAATTTCGCTGTAGTCCCCAAGACGATGCGTTCAGTTGATTTCGAACGCTGGAGAACTAACTACTATGTGTAAAGAACGGTGTAATGGGCCCGGCGAGGTTTCGGAAACCACACCAGGTCCTCCAATATGTGCTGACACGGCCTAACCAAAAGAAGAAGTGAAAAAGGAAGGTGGCGCGTCGTTCAACTAACTTATTGATGCGGCAGCGGTGTTTGAGTTGCAGGACAGCATCGATCTCTGCACGCGCGTGGTTGCGTTAAGTGCATTCACGAAAAAAAAATCGATTGAATTGTGTTCGCTCAAGCTTGCTAACTGCGTTCACTCACGACTGCTAGCCGTGCTCGTCCGCTGTTCTCCACAGCGGTTTTATTCAGATTTGATCAACTCGTTTGAAGGCTGTGCGTCACCTATGGTTGCGTTGCTCTTGTCAAATGATTATTATTGCGTTTTTTCTGACTTCCTAACATGAATTTGCGATGCACTGGCATCCAGAGTGTGTGATTATTTGAAAGATTCATAAGTTGTTTACATCGCTGTACCAGGCAGCAATTATGAGGACCGCAGTTACTAAGGATGGGCTTGTATCTGTTCCACCACTTGCCATAATTGTTTTTGTTTTTGGCTAGCTAGTAGTTTATCTATGAAGGTCACGCGTGTTTTAGCAGTTTATGCTTGATCTATTGAGCCCAAGAATGGCGGTGAAAGCAATATGCAACTGTCTCCCGTGTGCACAAGTAGATTTTTGTGATTTTAATGTTTCCTTGCCTGTAACTTCCAAAACAGCTTACACACAAGGGTTCAACAAGAATACGTATCAACGCACTTACAACGTTATTGTTCAAGTCGATCTAGATTTCATTACTTGTGGTAATTTCATAAATTATTCATTACTGATTGCTTTCAGGTGGAAGGCAGACAATTCTCTTAACCGTACCCACGATGCTCCCACCGAGAAAGCTAGATAACCTTGTACTTCATTGCAGCGAAGCCCTGGAATGAGATGTGGCTAGTGAAGTCTTGTTTTAATCAACAGACACAGCTGATTTCCCTTGCTTCTTCCAGTTTTAACCTTGACTTCAGACGGCATGAAAGCAGGTGTATTGAATGAAAAAATATGGAGGAGTAATTTATTTTAACCAAAAGTGATGCAACACTTTTCGAAGTGCTGTGTGGCGTTAAGGGGTTGCAGTGCTCATTCGAGGAGAACTTTAATACTTTTGGACAGGAGCCGACGGTGGATAAGGTGCGACCGCCTGTTCGTACGGAGGCAGCGTTGAATTCAGTGGCGGCGGCGGCCTTAGACCGGGTGCAGTGGGGTAGTGCGCGCCCTCCGTCTCAGTCTGTTGAAGATACGGATTCAAGCTAATGGGTGTGGGCGTTTGTGCGTTCCCCATCGGGTACACCATCGTCGCCACGGGTTGAGTTGGATAGCCTCCCGGCTGCATCTGTGTGGTGTTATCAAAGTGATGGTTTATTAGGCACATGATTATGCCACCACGAAAGGCGAATCTTTGAAACCATGATATTTGCAAAATGTGGAGTGAATAAATTAACAATAGTTCCAAAAACGGTAAATACGCTTGTGTTAGGTGAAGAAATTGTAGAATTCTCGAAAATGTAACCTCGTATATCTACTGCGGGCTGCAAATATAGGCAGTCATGCAAAAATGCGACTAATGAGAATGCAGACTACATTTTGTACCCGTTGGATATCGGTTCCTTGACGTGTAACGCGTCCATAAATGCTCGCGGACGCTCTAATTAGACATGGGCAATCCGTTCCTGAGTTTAAGTATTCGGCTTCTATTCACTTTTTGCCGCTTTGTCTGATCGAAAATACCGCTGAAGATGCTGAGCAAAATGGTCGCCTACAAAATTATTTCTCCATGCGCGACTGTTTGGGAGAGAGTAGAGATTCAACTTAAACCTGTGTATGGCAATCCAATCGAAATCCATTAACTCGTACTGCTGTGAGGTAGGCGAACGAGGGTAATGTTTTAACTAAGGAAAAACATCACTGGTAACAGCAGGAGTTGGTCGTAACATTTGGGAACTTGGGTGTTACGCACGAAACCGGAAACCACTGAAAATGCCAAAACTAAAACTGCGCATTATCAGGTCATTGATCAAACGTGAATTTTGAGTCGAAATTACAAAGTGCCAGAATGCCATATGAATTTTAAATCAGATAGGGTATAAGATGCAGTGGGCCTAACATTTCCTATTAATTGCATTAGGGATTCTACACGCATATATGTTTAACCCGTGTGACAATGTTACGAGATAAGCTCACTGCGACTCGTGAAGTTTAAATGCTCTGTGTTTGGTGCTTGTGATGTCAAAAGTCACCACTTGGACAGCAAAAAAACCTTTATCAATTAGACTTGTTTGACAGGGCACGACTACTCGCAGGAATGTGTTTATAAGTCACATGACATGGACATACCGTCTGCGGGTAGGGGCTAGTGGCGACCTCCGATTTCGACGTGTTCCCAAAGGCGGCGAAGCCACAGGCACAGCATAGCATTATGGAGGCTGCTACCAAGGCAACACACCCAAAGAAAACCATAGCAACACCTGCCGCAAACTGCCTGCCAAGGAAACAAAATACAATGCTGATGCTACTTCTGGAAGCTCCAGACTGCAAACTGGACTAAGCAGGTATTGCTTTGATAGTCAAGTTGAAAAAAAAACATTTTCAGAACTCCCAGACTGAATCAGCTTCTAGGTGCGTCAGATTTGGCCGATTAGCTGGTTAATAATGCGTGTTGCGATGTCAAAATGAGTTCCAGAATCACTGTTTCCATCCTCAATACTACAAAATCTCACCAATGAACTAAGTGGCAGTGGCTGTGAATGGTCAGCTAATACTAGACGGAATTGGTTGAATCGAAGCTGAGCCTGCTGACTACTGTGCCCAGTTGTTTGCGTATTTACTCAACCTTCTCATTCTCAAGATGATTTCAACTGCCGTGTGTGGTTTTGTTGCAACAATTCAACGCCGAGTATGTTCTGATGACTTCAAAAGCACGCAGACATACTGCTCTAACCAAAGATCCCCGATTGCATTTTCAAGAGTAAATCGTCTTCTTCTTTTGGCCGTAAACGCGCGACACAAACTCTTGCCATTAAGGGACAGGGTGTTTTCCTTTCTCCTGATGGACAGGGGGCTAGCAGACTCACTTGTGGTGTTGTTCAAAGTCATCGCAGAGAGCGTCCCAGGGCAATTCCTCCTTGTTCTTATCCACCAAGATGGATCCGCCAATAATGAGCGCCAAGGCAAGCAGGAAACTACAGCCCGACGCGACCTGGCAGCAAACGGCGTTCGCCTTTGCAAATGCTCTGATTCCACTTCCGATGACGGCCATTGACTGTATTTCTCACCTTAAATGACAAACAGTTGTGCTTAAACCTTATGACAGCTATGAGGCACTTTGCCTATTAAATTTGGTGCATGTTTGGAGGAGAATTAACCGTGGATATACCCCACAGGTTACAATGGGCCGTAAAATGTTTCGCTAAGTATGCATGGTTGGGTTATCTATTTGGTTTACTTGAGGTTTATACGATGCTCAGGCTGAAAGCTTTTACCAGAAAAAGGTTTTTCCCCAAGTCAAGTGAATTGCATTAGTTTACATCCAAACCCTGTCGCCGCGAACTCAAACTCACAGACCCCTCACCAATCATGCGGAACCGCCTGCATCTTTTGATTATTGTCAACCAAGGTAACGACTTGATCCCTCTGATGGCAAAGAAATCTGGAAGGTCTTACTTTCCACGTCGTTTTGTCAGAAGGATGGGAATTTTTACAAGTAATAGGCACGTGATTAAGGACACTAGTTTTTGCTTCAATCGACACAAACTGTCAATGAGGAATTTTCTGTGCTGACAAATTCACTACACAGCAGATTGATTGACATAACTACACCTTCTTTCACGTGTCTCTCTACAATCAGATCTTAAAGCCCACAATTGTTGTAAATAAGACTTCCGGTGATTGGGATTCTGCAACCAGAGTGATGCTACTTTAGCGAGTGTTAAAAGTCCTGCTTGAGTGAGCATTCCGTTTTAGTAAGCTAGATAGATTTCTCCCGAATGCCCTTAAAATTGTGTCTTGAAGTGACTTCTTTATCTTGAATTGCCATTTGCAGCGTCGAAATCAGATCTGACTATCACAGAAATTACGAGGAAGAGATCAAAAAATTGCGCACCAATTCTGCGCTGGTTATGACAATCAACAGAAGTTGGAGAATCAAGAAAGTATGAATGCCTCTAACATTTGCTCCCACAGTAGTGAAAGATCAGATCAGCTTCGAGACGAGAACATATTTGCAGATGATGGAAATAAAGAATGGCCTTACACGGCGTGTGATCTCTCGAAATGTTGCTTTAGTTGAATTTGCTGTTTTGTTTTAAAACTGTCAACTTTGGTTTCGTTTATTAAGGTGGAGAGATCGTCACTGCACTTCCTCTTATTCCGTGTTGAAATGAAAACAATAAATCTTGCATTCTAAAGCAATATATTTCGAGAAATCACATCACAAAGTAGTTATCTCAAATGTACCCATCGCATTGGTTACCTGACCGCTAACATCCACACACAGCACAAAATCATCAACACAACGAAAATTATCAGAGAATATTGGCGCAGCCCAAATGAGCGACCATTTAGCAGAAAAATTGGCAAGTTTGATGTCTTGGTTAGACTACGAAAATAACTAGACTCTAGTCAGGGGTGCTGAAGAATCAACCAATCAGAATTGGAGTACACTATTTTTTCGTATTTCAAAAACATAAATTAATGGAATATTGATTAAATAATTGTATTCAAATTACCCTCTAATGAATGAGGGCCCATGTAGTAAATTGTGATTTTTCAAGTTAGAATTGTAGTAGAAGTCCACCTTAATTAGCTACAATTTTGTTTCCTTCCAAAAAATTACAAATTTTTTTCGCAATCTTAAAGACAATGGAAATAATTGCTCACCAGACAATCTTCGCGAGTCAATGGGGCTTCAATGTCTGTATTGTAACCGACTAAAATTTTGACATAACAAAACAGTGGGAATGTTACTACAGCAACGCCGAAGCGTCTCTTGTCATTGGATGGTTGGGAAGGTATTGCCATTGCTGCCATAGCTTCGTTGTTTAAGTAAGCACGGGGCACGTAGGCAAAAAGCAACCGTGACAGAGTTTAAAAGTTGCCTTTTTAACTGTTGTCGTTAGACTGGGGGATTAATTTTTCAAGTAGGAGAAAGTGCAACAGCATTTAACTGTTTAGGGATTTACAAAAAACACATATTTGTAGAGAGAAATTTCAATAAAACCATTTTTCTCAAGAGGCTGTGAATTCATTTAAAATGATAAAGAACAGATTCACCCTTGCATTCACGATGCAGAAAGAAAACTTTTTTTTTCAAATCAGCAAGTCATGGTAACGCTCCTTGATCAGCCCGGCTGCGTCTCTGAATCTATAAAGTTACTGTAAATTGTGATAATTTTGTGTCAATAAGTTCTGAGTCGTTTGACGAAGACATGAAATTGATTGTAAAATTGATGACGGTTTTAAATGTCACCATCACAATATTCCTTAGCTTAAACAAATAACGGATTAATTAGGGTAACTTGTAGTGACTAGAGGATTTAGCACTACCTTACAACCCTCTAGTTAACAGCCCGTGGCTACCCGAGGGAAGGGGGAAAGGCGGCGACAGAGAACACGACCGTTTATTAGAGTCGAACCAGCCAAGTGGCTTTGTGTGGGTATGAGCACGCGTGCGTAACAGGCGAATGCTGACAAAAATCAATAACAAAAGGGGATGAGTCATCGCTACACACGGGCCTTTATGCACGCACACTCGCGCGGGGCGGCTGTCAGTCCACTACAAACTATCATGTTAGCGAACAAAAACAATTTGTTTAGTAACGTTTTTGCAAGTTCTCTTGCGGTCAATTTAATGCCAAATCGGCAGAAACGGCAGTTGGGAAATTTGTGCGGTTGGCGTGGAACTAGTTAGCGACGTTTAAAAAGGACCATTTAAAAGTGCGAATGCGAAATAAAATTGGCCGTGTAAACGATTTTTAAGCCGGAGGCAATTTCCTGGACTTTAAATCAACGGAAAATGTTCACGAGATCGGTGCGTGACCGATGTTCTTGCGCGACACTGGCTTACTCCTGGATCTTTGTCCTTCCAAATGTAGCATTTGCGAGCCGTGACTCTGTCCAAAGACATTATTCACAAAAATATTCCCGTAAATTACGAGGCTTGACGAGGACGTGATGCACTGGAGGTGCATACCTGTTAAATCAACCTTTTCGACACAGTAAACATGGCTGATAAGACCACATATTACGCATCTCGCCTTGACGTCGTCCATGGAGCTCGACTGAGAGGTTTTGACGCGTCCATCGATTCATCCAGACGTTGTCCAGCAATAATTATCCCATTTTCCGGTCAAGGTCAGGTCACTTAAATGGTGCAGTTCTACTACGATTATGATATAAAGAATTGGATCAAAATCAAATCAAGGCTATACTTGGAAATTCTTAGTTAGCTGCCATCGACAACTTCGTAAAGCACTAAAATGACTAGGGGCTGAAAACAGAATTGGAAATTGATCTTTATTTTACAACAAAAAAAATTGTCCTAACAAGAGACCACATTAAATATGTTTGTTTCGGCTTCACTTACAAGGCCTACCCTCGGTGTCCAGCTGGCCAGAAAACAATTTAAAAATTAGCCAATAGCATATAAATGGACTCCCACAGCCTGTTTCGAATTGGGCTATTCGTTGCGAGATTTATGGTCGGCGTGGTAAATTAAATGCATCTACTATTTATCTATAATTAGGTGCCTTCCTAAATTCATCTTAAGAAACTTCGCGGACAACGTTTTTTTAAGAGTTTAATTGGAACTAAAACCAATGAGTTGAAGATGGATTCACATTTCCATCGCGCTTAATCTCTGCAGTTCCCAATTTCATTGTACTTATTAATTTCTCAATTTAAAACTTTCTCAGTGTTGCACCAGTCAACGTTGCTGAAAATACTTGTACTGGAAATTCATTGTGCTAGGCTGTTTTGATCTGTATCGCAGTGACTGTGTCCTGAAGCTAACTGAAATCTTAATTTGAAAATTGAATTCAGCGCAAAATTATTTGAATTTAAATTGCTGCGTTAAACAAAGAAGACAATTCATTCCTTACGTTTAAAACTCCATCAGATTTCACTATTTTTAAATAATTTTTTTTTAAGTTTAATGGGATTAACACGAACACTCACCACCTATGCACAACCAGACTGGTAATTAGAATTTAGCGTTCATTCCATTGGGCGTTCTCAAAACCAAACGCATCAAAATTAATTATAACTGGCTCTTTCCTGCGGTGTGAGTGTTTGTGAATTTCGCAGACTGAATTTCGTAAATGACAAATTTTTTTGTGTGGTGTTTAAGAAGTATCTATCTTGGTCACAACTCATAGTTTAAGATCTTGAGAACTTCAACTGCAACCAAACGCAGGTTACCACAATTTTTTATCTGCGGTTTTGTCCTATTTACTGGCAACAAAGGAAAACGCGGCTTGAGTTTTGATCCAGACGAATTCCATAACAGCCTCATGTTAGATAAATTCGTCTTCTACAAAGAACATCTTGCCATCGGGACAGACTGCTAGTCAAAGCACTGTCCCCCAACATATTGTTAAAAGCATTAACAAGGATTCGCCAAGTGCGTCAGCCACCAATCAGGCGAATCGCGCTTCTTTGAAGTTGCATTGCACTAAGCCGACATTATTCCCGAAAACACCCTCGCCTTGATGCCGGAGCTAATACGCACGAAATTCATCAGCCCATTTATCAGGATGGGAGCACACGCAGAGCCCTTAGGCGCCTCGCGTGATCCTCAAAGCTAGTCGTGAACGCGCTTTTCGCTGTCTCTTGGGCGGTGCCATGCCTCAGCAAGGTTAAATGTTGACGACGATCAGCTTATCCACATGAGCCGTGCTCAAGGTTGTTTGTTAGTGTTCTTAACAGGCAGGAGCAAATGAATCATTGATCGGAAAGGTGTAGTGGTTTTCGTTCAGCGATTTAACTGTCAGTCAGAGGTAACATACACATTGGCACACAAGCTTGAGTCTCCAACGCCTGTAGTCTATGTGGTGACCGGCAAGCCAGCACACTTAGCATTCGTGAGCGGACGCAGTTAGCAAGCGCTAGCGAACACAAATCAATCGATTTTTTCGTGGATGCACTGTTGTGGACAGACAGACACTGCGCACTTGAGTGCTGCGTGCATGCTTGCCCGACCGTATCAATGACTCACCCTCTTTGTTATTGATTTTTTGTTAGCAGTCGCCTGTAACGCACGCG